CGTCGTCTCGTTGAAGCCCGAGGGCCGCTGGCTGCGGGTGGCCGCCAGGTCCTCGTCCACCTTGGTGCGCACGAAGTAGAATTTCTTGCCCTGGCGCAGGATCTCCGAGGCCAGGCGCGTCTCCACGGCGCCGCAGCGCCGGGGGGACACGAGCAAGAAGAAGTCGTAGCGGCCGAAGTCTACCTCCTTCAGGTACTTGTCCGCCGAGCAGCCCGGAGAGCCGGCCCCCGGCAGGTCCCACAGGGTCACGTCGGGAAACTGTGGGTGAGGGTAAGACGACGGCTGCATGGTGGTCTCCACCACCCCGGTGAGAGCTGCGCCGGGATCCTCGGCCCCCAGGCCGCGCAGGGCGTTGATGAGGGAGGACTTGCCGGCTCCCGACTCGCCCGTGACGCCCACCTCCAGCCTGGTGCTCTCCGTGGTGGCCAGCAGCTCCCGGAGGCGAGAGGCCGCCTGAGGGATGTCGCCAGACTCAAAGGCCGAACGCAGGGCCTCAAGCTCTTCCTTGGCCATGAGGATGGTAGTCTCCTCCTCAGGCACGGCGGGCAACCTGGAAGTTGCCATGACAGTCACGGGATGAGTGACTACTCAAGCGTCTGCAGCGGGGGGGAGAGAAGGAAGCCGTGGTTCCTATGCCATGCCATGCCCTCTTACCTACCTACCCAGCTACCCCGACGTGGAAGAAGACGACAAAGAGCTCTCCTTGCTTCCGCCACCAGCTCTCTCTTCCTCAATTGCTGGGCTACCCTGGCTCACACCTGTAATCCGGCACTGGGGAGAGCTCGAGGCAGGAGGATCATCACCATGAGTTCCAGGACAGTTGGGCTACAGCAGTCTCAAAACAACAGTGCCCAGGTATGGTGACCACACACACCTTTAGTTTTAAATATTGGGAAGCTGAGGCAGACAGAGCTACAGGAGTTCAAGGCCAGCCTGTTCTACATAGAGAGTTCCAGGCCAGCCGGGGCTTCAGAGAGAAACTGTCTCAGAAACAAAAAAAAAAACACCAAACAAACAATAACAACAAAAACAAAACAATAAGCCAGGTGTGGTCACTCACACCTGCCTTCCCAGCATTAGGGAACTGCAGTTAGGAGGGATCAATTGAAGGGAGAGTTGAAGGGCTAGCCTGGGCCACCACCTCAAAATAAGAACCCAGACCCATTTATGTTTAGTTAAAGGACTCGAGTGTCAAAGGCCCAGGTCTCACTTTCCACCTGGGCCACCGACTTCCATGTGACCCAAGACAAAAATGGACATCACTCTGTGCCTGTTTGCACAAAGTTCTATAGTTAATGGGCATAATAACCAAACAGCCTACCTAGACACTGTCAGGCGTCTGTGAGTAACCCAGGAAGGACACAACTTTGTCTTGTGCCCTGTGCCCGGAGTGAGGCTGGATGGCCCACAAAGACCAAAGCCCGATGATTCCTTACAGTATCCGGGTTGAGCCAGACCCTTCCAGTCTCACTGTGGCCTGGCCTCTCATCCTGGGTAGCAGGACCTGGCCTGTGGTTCTGGCCAAGCTGGAGCATCACTACTTTTCAATTGTTGTGGTCACAGGGAGCCAGTGTGAGGTGACGCATCTGTGAGATGTAGCTTTGATCATCCTCACGACAGAATATCTCCTGAAGAGCGGGAGACTCCAATGGACGATGGCATTAGCAAGACCATGCCGGGCACACAGCAGGTACCACATTAGCACCCAGTGTTGTGATTGATACCTGTGGTCTACAGCTTCCTCTTTTTAAAGACAGGGCCAGGCTAGCCTCTAACTCACAGCCGCTCTCTCACCTTAGCCTCCCAGGTACTGAGCTTGCAAGAATGCGCCCCCTCCCCCAATGCCTGCCTAGACTTGTGACTTGGGGACTCTGTCCTCCTGAGCCCTGACTGCCTGCCTGCTCTGAGACACCCTCAAAGGCCTACCTCTGTCACCATGGCACCCCCAGTCAGCAGTGAAGACATTTTTCAAT